TAACGATTGGCAATTGTATTGAAGAAACTTCATTATGGTTTATCAGGTGAAATTAGAGACTCTTTAACTTCAAGTTCGTCTCTCCTGACTAGGATACGTTCGAATTGGTTCTTTAACTGCTGAATTTGCTGAAAACTGCTTGAGTCACTATTTTCAATAGTTAAGTTTTGGGTGATTTTGAGAATTTCCGCTATCAGTCTTTCAAACTCAGTTACCATATTTTTTTGGTATGCAAGCGAGTTGTAAACCGGGTTGGGAGTGGTTTTGGGTTTTGTTTGAACAATATGATTGTCGCTTTTTTTTGAAACTCTCTTTCACGACCATTTTTTACCATGTAGCTGTATTTTCTTTTAGTGAAATTTCTATTAATGTGATCAGTCGTGTCTACAAAGCAGTTTTCTTTTGTCATAGGCGGGAAATTTACATCTTCATTTTCTAGTATATCAAAGCGATTGGAATTTTTTGGAAAGTAAGTGTCTAGCACCTCTTTCCTTGTCAATTTTTTAACAGTCTTGATGCGGTTCACCGACATCTCCTTTTCCCAATGTGGGCATCTGTCCTTATCTTTAGCACTATGGCCGTTCCTACCACAGAGAATACATGAGTTGGTTTCGCATTCATTGTTGTTGCATTCTATTTTGCCACATTGCAGGCATCTTTTTTTGGATTTACACCCTAATTTGGTGTGACCTAATCTGCCACAATTTACACACTGCCTCAGCGGAGGAATGTATATGTCTACGTTGAGTTTTGTATGCTCAAAAATGATTTCTTTGGGGACGTCATTGCCTGCGAAGCCTATCTTTATTGTTGTAGTGGGAGAGTAGTTGTCGCCTGCAGGGTCTTTGCGTTTGAATCGCATAACAGACACAATTGTGGCTGCAGATCTTGAATTTTTAAGAATGTCATAATCACTGAAGCATACCGGTACACCACGTACCACACCATAAGTTTCAAGAGCTGATCTGGGTAGGAATGGCTTTAAACCCCTCTTCCTTATTCTGTTATCCAACAGAAAGCTGTTTGCCGCATAGACGTTAGTGAAAGTAACTTTATATAGAGATCTACCTATCGCATAAATGAGATCAAGGTCCTGTACTTTGAGGTCCTTAATCTGGCTGAGGAGGGTTAGGCCAGTAGTAATTTTATCATTATTCATCGCTTGGCACCCAGACGAGTCAACCAGCAGGAAAATTTCGCCTTTGAAGTTTGGCGGGTATTTCACAAGAATTGATGATTCTTGCTTGTCATTTTTTGCTTTTGGCGCCAATTCGCCCTCTTCAGCCACATTAAGAACTCCCGTTATTTTTTCTATATTTTTCTCCACGCTATAATCCGTCTCCATGTCACCAGACACATCGGAATTTTCAAAAGATTTTTTTTCTGAACAGATTTTTCTTAAACCATCATTCGATAGTTCATAAAAGCCTGTTACGTCGTCATTAATTAATATTTTTGGTTTTTTGGCCGTGCTACTTTCTGCTTCGGCAGAAAAAGCACATGTCGCCACCGACTTGTTCGTCGGCGACGCCATTTTGGCCTTGGCTTTAGCTTGCGTCGCTAGACGCAGCTTCTTTTTCTTTTTCACAGGCAATTCAAAATTTGTGCACACACTTTGTAAAAGAATTCAATAAAGACAAGAAAAACCAGAATCACTTACCCAGCAAAATATGTGCAGCTATTCGGCTTTATTTTTTGACCATCCAACGTGGATAATAAAAAGAAGAATTTACACACTCAAAAAGCCACAGGCTCACACTAGCAAAAAAGTGTACAACTGTATGTATATAAGGTTGGTTTAAGGCACAGGTTAAAAGAAGCGCGCTCGATCCACACACGCTCGTGTCCAAAATCCGAATGTGACTTTGCCACTGCACACTTCATTTTGCTTTTAAATGTCTCAATAATTGTTTAAAACCACGCAGAAATAATAACGCACATATATTAAAATTTTTATTTGGTTTTTTCGTATGCTCACAATCAACAATTGCACCAAGATGACGTCACGCACACAGCTCATTCTGTCAAAATCACAAAGAGCGGATTAGCGGTACCGCGATTGGCGCAATCTCTATTTCTCTCAGTCGTGGATCGCAGTTTCAAGATAGTTTATTTTTATTTTTCTTTTTATTTATTTGTTTTTGTTTTTTATTTATAACAAAATAAAAAATAATAATACTTACACTGTCTTAAAATTACTAGGGTCACCACATTTTTTTGGCTGCTTAATGTTTATTAAATATTTATAAAAGTTAGCTCATCGTCAAAAAAAACCTTATAAATCAAAAGTTCAAACTTTGTTCAAAAATTATAAAAATTCTTGAAATAAAAATGCGAGTATGTGGTGGATTTCAGATCTTGTGTGGTAAATGTGGTAGATGCTCAAAAAAATGTTAGATCTACCACAATGTGGTAGGAGTCCGAAGACTGTTCCGGGGGTAAAATCTGATTAGGGTTGATAATGAGTAGGATCATGAATTTTGATGATTCAGAGTTGTATTCAAAATTACTGTGGTATGAAAGGGAGCAACAAGCGTACTATGGCAGAGTGGCACAGGTAATTTTGTAAACAAACACTTTTCTTATAATTTGATAATTACGATTTCAGTTTTCCAGTTCCTGTTTTTGCATCAAGGAATCCATTTCCACGGTAGCAAAAACCAAAAAATCTATTTAAAGTATATTTTTTTTTTAAGTTCATTGAACTCCGTTCTTAAGTCAAAAGATTTTTCTTTTGTGTTGTTGGCGCGGGATCACCTTTCTTGTGGATTGGGCAGAGCACACTTAAATTCCAGTCGTCGGGCATGCGTTCATCTGTCCATATTCTGACCAAGAGTTGATGCATGCACCTTATCAACTCCTCGCCACCGTACTTGAATAGCTCAGCTGGCAGGCTGTCAGCTCCAGCGGCTTTGTTGTTTTATTGCTATTCGTACCTCGTCTTTTTAATTAGTCCTTTAAAATTACTTTCAAAAGTAAAATTTTTGTATTTTTTTTTATCTAGAAACAGCTAGTAATAAACTTTAAAAACAATTTAAAATTAAATGCTGGTTTCAGGTCAAAAAAATGGGAAACAATTTAAATCATCTATTTTTGAAAGTCATTTTAAAGGTCATGGTAATTATTCAACCAAACGAGACTATTTTTCCTGAATTCTACATCTCAAAAGCTTTAAAAGACCGTTACATTTATTTCGCTATGCAGTATATGTTAGAAACCTCTCTATTCAAAAAAAAACTTTTCAAATACGCCGCCCTATTGCAGAATTTTATTGAAAAACACTCTATCTCAGAATTCGGTTCAAAAAGGTCCTATCTCACTTCAAAATGTATTGAAAATGTGCTGACATAGGACGTTTTTGAATCGGCAGCTAAGATATGGCGTTCTTGAAATGAATCCTGAAATAGGGTATTCTTCGACCAAATTCTGAAATAGGACGTTCTTGAAAAGTTTTTTGAGATAGGGCGTTTTCTAACTGGCTGCCGGGATAGGTTGATCTTCCACTCAGCAGTCGATATGCTCACTAAATTTTTGATAGCGGTTCCATATCAGCAATCAATGGATCGTAATTGTTCCTTTCACAGTCGGGAATTGTCTGCAAGATCTCCGCTGCAGGTCCTTTGTAGTGGTGCACACAACACACAAGATAACTGATATGAACTCCCCCTTATAAAGGCATACAAGATAAGGAGAATGGCAAGAGAAATACCGGCTAACCGGCAGTACGACCAGAAAGAATCCTTTCTCTCTGTAGGATCACACACTTTCACGGCTACCTAGCAAATCCGGCCATCGGGAAGACTCATCTGGGCTGTGGCAAGCTAAAAAAGAACTTATAGGAAATTACAGCACCAGCAGATTTAGAGAACTAATGACTTTGCGAAGGCTAAGCTTACGATTAGCCCATACGACCCTTTACTTCCTACGTTAAAGCATCAGAAACCGATTCGACGCGATTTCCAAAAAAAAAAAAGGTGGACAGAGATATGGCCGGAGGCTACAAACATTCACTCTCTGCTGCGTCTGAAGCGACTGGATTTCATTACGGCTTTATGACTAGACGGGTACGATGATGAGTTATGCGGACACAAGAGACACAATGTCGCGATGCATTTCCTCCATTAAGTATATCTATCTAGCTATTTATCCAGCGCCTGATGGGTTCACCCGCCCCACAGTGTCTGCCAGTTGAGCATAAAGAGTCAAACGTACTCGTCCAAAGCACCTTCAGTTCCAGTGAAAAATTTCGTTTTGCAATCGCCCATAAATGCATTTAAAATTGTTTTTTTTTTATATCAGATTTTTTATTTTGTCTTATATACTTGTTTAGGCTTATGTATATAGGTACAATAAGAAAGTTTAATTCTTACAATTGGACAGGCAAATTATGACATGCCGGTATTGGAACTGCTGACAATTCTTTCTAATTTGCTTTATTTTCGAGGCGCTTAAATATAGGAATGTTTAATGTTAATTTTTTCCGCAAGAACTGGTATTTAAACCATCCGGGACCAATACATATCCCGTGGGATAAACTTTAAAAGTTTTCTACAGACTTACAGGGAATAAAAACTCTCTCTGGTAGTGACTGATTTGATTTTGATAGTGAAAGCACAGCTTTTACTCTCTGATGGCCCACAGGAAGCTTAAAACTCGGACCGTTTTTTTTTAGTTGCTTACAAAAATGTGTTTATACCAGAGTTGATCACTTTAGAGCAGCTAAGTACAGATAGAGCTTTTACTCTGCATGTGGTTATTGAAAATGCACAAAAAGCCCTGTTGCTTTAGAGCAGTAACGAGCGGGGAAAGCTTTTAACATCTGTACATCTAAGAAGATTTATAGAAACACCTTCTATTTACATCATTGAAGATCTGAGAGAGTTTGTAGAAAGATTAAAAAAGCTCGACACTTTAAAGGCATGCGTGCAGCGCTTTTAAAGCTTTCTACACTTTTTGTATATGCGGGTGTTATTAAAACACATTCCACGGAAGAAGCTTTTTAAAGCTTTCTATAGATTAAAATATTATATAGATTTTCGGACCAATGATGATAAGAGACCACTCTGAAGAAAATTTTAAAAGCTTTCCCTGCGTAATAGGTTTTGGTCGTGTCTGATTTGGACGAACACGGAGTAAAAGCTCTCTCTGACCCTTACTGACTTGTACTTACCTACCAACTCATGCGCATACGCTTTTCGGCCTACTACACATACTTCACTTAAAAACGACTTAAAAAATTAAATGCTGGCAGTCATCAGGTGTAAATACTTTAGAAACTTTTAGACATTCTCCATACAAAACAAACGAAATTGATGAAAGCTTAAATTTATCCTTAAAATGGAATTATGTTTATAAATATAGGAGTATTTTCTTTGGCAATAAGTACAGCTAGGATTAGCTTGAATTTACATAATACATTTATAGATTTACACATAAACTTAGTACGTATACATCGAGATTTGTTTATAAAAGTCACTTTTTCTACAGCCTCAACTGAAATTATACAACTAAGCATTGTTTTTGTTTTTAAATTAATAAACTAAAACTAATCAACAATTTGTTCTACACTCATACATACACACACATTGCTTATACACAAAAAACACCACGAATAAAAAAAAATTATTTCTTAAATAAATTCGCCCTCTTGCTTTACTTAGTAACTCTAAACAGCCCCCAAATCTTGTTCCTTTAAATTCAATAGACTAGAAAATCGAAATGAGATTGTTTTCGAAAGATGTTTTTCAAATGCATCACTATCCAAATTATCGGGTATGAATGTCTTATTTGTCATATCCAAGTAAGAGCGTCCTCGTTTCACCGGCATCGAATAGAGCTGCTGTGTCAATGTCCCATCGGCGACACCACCGCTGCCATTTTGACTATTCGTCGCAAGGCTAGCGGTACAAACAGACTTACGTATGTTCAAGGGGAAACGTAAGTCATTCTCATAGCGTAAGGCCTGTTCAGTGGTAGCAGTCTCGATGAGTGGACGTGGCACATCATAACCAGGTGGTGGCTGTTGGAACTCCATGCTAAATGTGGTGGAGAATTCGCGACTGCTCGGACATTCCTGTGTGTCGTAGCACATTTTAGGTGGTCGCCAGAGATGGTCCAACGAGTCTGGCGCGCCAAACTCCTCAAGGCCAGCGGTTAGATCGGGTTGTGAAATGCTGCTCAATTTAGCTTCATCCAAGCAATACATCGGATTGGAAATGGCACACGATTCCATTTCAATATACTTGACATTATTGCCGAGGAGTTTCTCGAATTGTGAAGCTAGATATTTGAAGGAAGGTCGCGAGTTAGGATCATCCGTCCAGCATGTGCGCACAATGGAATAACTGTTGGGTAGTGGAAGTGCAATAAATTTTATTTAGTTTAGTTCATATACATACAATTTAAAGATCAATTAAAGGTTATCTTACGCCTCTACATACATATATCATTCCTATCTATACTCACATTTCTTCTGAACAGTTCTCTGGTCTTTCCATGCGATAGCCGGTTTTCAATAAATGATAGAGATTCTGTGGCGGTATACCTGGATATGGTGAGGCACCCAACGTAATCAGCTCCCAACAGAGCACGCCGAAAGCCCACACATCCGATTTGGTGGTGTAAACATGATCGGCCAATGACTCAGGCGCCATCCACTAGCGACAAAAAGCGAATACATATTTCTTCATTAGTATACTAATTCTATTTACTTCCTTGTTCACTTTTACCTTCACCGGCACTCTATCACGCGAACGCTTTAGATAGGCATCGTCTTCGTAGACATCACGCGTTAGGCCAAAATCAGATATTTTGCAGATTTTTCCGTCGGCGAGTAAGACATTGCGTGCTGCCAAATCGCGATGAACTAACTGAAAAGGATGGAATTAAAAATAAGTATAAATATTAAATGAACCGATGTCGAAAACATTTTGAACACAGATTTGAAAATTTTACCGACTTCAAGAATCTTTTAGACTAGCTATTTTTGCTGTGACGCAATCTGGAGAGATCTTTTTGGAAAATGTATAATCCAATCAGCACTTTCTGTTCCAGATTGGACGGCGAAGTTTATTAAAAAAAATGATTTACTCTTGAGAATATTTCTTTCGAATTCTTCAATTTCTACGTGGAAATTATCTAACGACAACGCACTTCTAAACTCACAAAGAAAATTGGAAAGTTTAGACCGTAAGTTCCTTGTTGGACGTAAAGGCAGCTCCCTTTGAAAACTCTCTTATACAAAATTTGTATCCGGCGCCCCATGTCGTTACCATATGCGGCTCAATAGCAAGCGTCCGTAAATTCCGAACCATTACATCCCACTGTAGAAGTGAAAAAAGTCTTATCCTTTGGTAGAAAGTGTTGCCCACAGTGTGCAGTGATCTTCTACCTTTTATTACAAAATAAATTTATTCAATATACAAAATAAATTTATTCAAATAACCAGGGCCTGCAGGTAATGGGGCCGAACTTTGGCCTGAATGCCCAAAATGCCAATGGCATATCGTTGGTGGTACCGAAAAACGTTCTAAGTTAGTTATTATCGCTGATTCTTAAATGATCTGTAACCTTCATCTCTTCGATTTGGTTAATCGTTCATCTTCTTCAGCCAATAGCAGTTTTTTTTTTTTTTTTTTTTAGTTTATGAGAGTGTAACGATTTGCAGATGCATTCGGGTGCAGGTGGCAAGGACAATAATTTCAGTATCACTGATGATGTGATATGCCCGTCTAATGGAAGAAGACAGAAGTAAAATCTACGCAGTGCAAAGTTCATCGGCTAGCCGGCGTCACCTTAACTGGCGCGATAAGAACAATACCAAACCCGGCTACCGAGGTCCTTCTACAGCTCCCTCTTTTGCACATTGTAATCAATAAAGTAGCTGTACTGTTTACAGCAGGACTTAGCTCAGGTTAAATGTGTGGGTGATAAAAAGCTTATACACCCTTGTACCGTCAGGGTTATATAGTAGAATTAGAGTAAGGTCCGTACATTAGCTTCGTGGACTTGTGCATTCCGAGGTTTAACTTCACGCATAACTTCAAGGTTTTTTAGCCATTGAACGACTTAAGCACTGTAGGGATAGCCAATTTTTTTATACTCATGGCTACAAGACTGCCCATTGCGTCGGAACAAGAATCTATGCTAAATAAATTTGAAACTATCGATAGCTCCAAAAAAAAAATGTCTCCGTTGTGTATATTATCATGAGCGACAATGCTTCAAAATATGCCGTTAACTTTCCTACAAGGGAGGAATGGAGAATTCCGTACACTCTCTTGGGGAGCTAGGTAGAGATTTCTATACGTACGACTCCAAGAATGAAAATGGAGTTGAAGTTGAAGAGTAACTTCAGATGCTTTGCTGCTTAAAGTACAACGGCAACAATTTTTTTCTTATTGGAGTTATTTGCAATACTTAAAGTAGCAGCCTGGATAATTGGAAAAAGATGGCGTGAACATCAAATCAGGGTCTTCACTGGCCACCGAGCTGAACTAAAGGCCTTGAAGACTGCGCGCATTCCTCAAAACTAATCCAGAAATTTAAGTTTGGGCTAAACTTCATTGCGAAATGGAATAAGCCCGTTCAACTTAACGAATTAGCTGATGGATTGGCATAGGGCACTTCTTAGTGGCAACTTGTTGGATCGAATATAATTATGGCTCCAGGCGTATAGGGGCGGACATACATCAGAGATCTCGTGAATAAGGCTTAGAAGATGTATTGGTGCTATATCGGCGCCTGCAAAATAACCAAGCTATTTCTGAAAAAGTTAGACGAATTCCATCTCAAGCAGAGAAGGACTAAGCTAAGAGCATTGACAGGACACAGATTACAATCCATGGGGTGGAAATATGGTAATCATTTGCAAAATCGGCGATCTACTTTAGTCTAGCGGATGAAGGCCACACGGAGGTGCTGCGTTTATGGGCCGCTTGTATTGAAATTGAACCTTTTAATCCTTCTTCTAAGTCTTAAGTAAAATGGGCAGCTATGCGTCAGTGCTTGGAAAATCGTTTTGTTCACTTTCCGTCCTACCATAAATCCCATGCTTCAGACGCACAATCGAATGATATTGCATGCATAACAATATGGGTGTAAAGTTTTAAAGGGACATGTTCAATACCTATTCGTTCTTGTGGGCCAAAATCTTAAATGTTTTCAATTCAAGACAGTTTTCCCTAGATCGTTGTTGGCCTGCATGAAGTAGCAAAAACCGCAGTGACACAATGAGCTTTTCAATTCTGGAGCAGTCTGACCTGTCTGGAATAACCCTCAGTCACTTTAGACAGTTGCGGGTTTTTTTATCAGCAATGTTTTTGCTGCCGACAATTAAAAGCAACAAGTTGATATTCTAAGAACTTAATATATACTTAAACCATCTCACCTTAATCTCCGTTAAATATGCCATACCCTTGCAAATTTGCCATGCAAACGCGAGAATATTCTTCACAGTCATTGGTTCCACGCCGTCGGTGAAATCGACGCCCGAGCACTCGATCTTTCGACCCAAGCGCAAATAGCCGCGTAGCGACCCATATTTCGCGTACTCAATAATGATCAATGGTGTATCGTCTTTAGTGCAGGCGCCCAGCAACTTTATCACATTCGGATGCGAGACCTCCTGTAGTAATTGAAATTCAGACAATAGGGCCATATACTCTACAGAATTGGCGCCGGTCTTTAGCATCTTGACTGCCACTGTGGTAACACCAGGTATATCCGCAATGTCGGTGGCATAACCCTTCACGACTTTACCGAATTCTCCCTCGCCCAACACCACATCCAGCTGAAGCTTCGCACGATCGAACTCCCATTTCGAGTCCGCCATATCGAATTTCACCAAACCACTTTCAAGCTGCATCAGCGGCACATCACCATTACGCACATCACAATCGCCACCATTCGCAGATGACTTCTGTACGAGCGCCTCCTTGCCACATGCACGACGCACAAGATTACGTTGTGATGCAATCAAGCAAATAATGAGAACGATGAGCACGAGCGGACAGGTGATAACGAGTAGAATGCAAGATCTGTCACAGGTGAAACCGGCCACATGAATGCTCATTGCATCGCGGTCTAACACTTCATTGTTTAAAATACTTTGCGTTGGCAACGCGTTGCTCACCAGCCCACCGAATTGGGTCAATTTCGTGGCATCAGTTGACTTTGCTTCATTTTTGCGCTTGCGTTTCGGACGCGGCTCTTCATCATCGAGTGGCGCGCATAGGCATTTGCCATTGTCCTCACAAGTGCAAGTACCCGACGCAGAGTAAATACCACGCTTATTGTTGTTGGTTGTGTGTGGACCCATAATTTTGCCACCTCCAATGCAGTCCTGTGGACAGATAAAAGTATTAAGCTCTTCCAGCGGATCGCAAATATTGTCCGGACAATGTGTAGCATCGGGTACACACGAAGCATAATTGCGTCCGAAGAAACCTGCATTCGAACCGCGCCACACACATGCGCCACCATTGGTGCCGAGCCCGCAGAATTTCGTGCATTGCTTCTGGTATTTTAACTGAGCGCAAGTTTGACTGCGAGATTTGAGCTTTTGCTCGCAGGTCGCATTGTCGACATGTCCATTGACGAGATGCACATTGACGACAAACGAACGCTGATAGGCGTCATGCCAGGTGATGTTGAGACTGTGAAGAAATTAGAAGGAAAAGAATAAAGGAAATTACAAAAGGAGAAAAGAGATGGTATCGTAGTCATTCCATGCAAAGTTGTGTAAGACCCCCAATACTAATATTGGCTCGCTAGAATTTCTATTATTTTCAACATACTCACAAGTAAACCGTTTCCGGCGAGCTCTCCAGTGCGTTCGTATCCTTTACATATACAATACCAGCCGTTGTTGTTATACCAAAAGCGCCACTACGATCCTCAGAAATTGTGAACTGTACCGCCGACATTTCTATTAAACTTAAAAAATTCTCTGGTTGGGCCACTCGACTATACGACATGGCAGTGCGATGTATAAAGACATCCTTCGGATAGCTACTCAAAATGCTTGGCGTTAAGAAGCCCCGATCATCGCTGTCGAATATCGACTCAGCAGAGTTGGTTAAACGCCGACCCTTACCACGATGCTGGCGCAACTCCATGACACGTGGCCGATCAGCCTCGTGTATCTTACCCGGATCGGTGCGTATGCAAATATTCGCTTTGGCCTGTAAGGAAATATGTATGAACTTTTTTATAAAACTTCCGCTTTTCAAATTGAATAAGCGAAAGCCTTACGGTTTTTGTTGTATTCGCGACAATCGTGTTATCACTGGCGACCAAGGAGAAACAATAATCAGATTGACTAAGTATGCCATTGCGTGCGAAATGTATTTCTGAAAAATTTATCAATTTTAACAATCATCAATACAAAATAATTATCTTCTGCATTGTAACATACGGCAGCTAAAAGCTGATTTTCGTTTTCCGGTATGATCTGATTCGTAAGCCGTGCAATCGGGACGCACCAACTCACTGGTATCATTGAAAATTTGATAAGTTAAGTGCGCATTCGATTTGAGCGAATCTTTGTCGGTGAAAATGATCTTGCTCCCAATGGGGTCGTCCTGAAACAAATTTAAGATGAATGATTAATGAAAAAACATTCTAGCATTTATCCAAAAAGGTTTAAAACTGACAATAGCTTGCCAACAGTTCACTCTGTGGCCACTGAGAGCAGATGTGATAATCAGGAGAATGTTTACCTAGATCCATTTTTATCCCCTTTGGCGAATTCAGACTAGACTGCCCTTCCGGAGATACTATGATTAAGGTGTACAGCACTTCGAAAAAATAGCCTCCCCCACCCAAGAATTCTGGCAATCACAGTAGCTGCTTACACGTCTTCCTAATCATAGCGGTCACGTGGCTAATAGACCAAATCCCCTCCTTGCCCACAACTAGGCAGAAAAGGGATAGAAAAATACGCCCAGTTTTAACTTTACGCGGCTTGAATTGGGCTTTGCCTGGAAAGACCTCTGCAGACCCATTCACTTTGCTTGTTTTTTGTTACCGATGATGTCGATAAGCCCCAATCACTTCGTTGTCGGTGGGATTCAGCCTTTCACACATTACGCTCGATAAGACTGTATACGTCATATAGCAGGGTCAGATTTCTTGTAAATTGGGTAGAGCAAACTTAAATTCCGACGAGTATGCGTTCGTCCGGCCATATTCGGCATAAGAGTTGATGCATGCCCCTTATCAGTTCCTCGCTCGCGTGCTTGAATAACTCGGCTGGACATCGACTCCATTATCATCGACAGGGGCAGGGTCGTATTCTCCAATACCTTCAGTGCTGCTGTCATTCAATATGGCGGACAAGTGTTCCCTCCATAATTTATCGGCCGCTCAGCATTTCAAGCTCTTCGCACCCAAGTATTTTGGCCTCCGATTTCTTATTACGACAAATCCGTCTCGCTTCCCTCTTCAGCTCCCTAAATCGATCCCACACAGCTCTGGTTACACCCGATCCCGGCAATGCAGGCGACATTTTTTCTATTTGCAACTTCGTGACGTTCCTCATCGTACTAATTGCTCGTATTGGCTCGCTGGAATCCGATTACTTTTTCGGTGACGGTAATAAGCGGCTAATTTAGTCCTACTACTGTTGTTGAGTGAATCTTTGTCGGCTACTAAACCCCGCTAGAGTCGGTGCATCCATCAACGTCGTCGTCTGTGTGCGCAACTTCAACAGGGTCCGCCCATAGGGACAGGGGCGTTAGCTGGGTGGGGTTTTGGGGACATGTGAAGAGGTATTGTGAGCCATGTGGCGACTCTCCGCATGCCGGGCACTGGTTGGGCACATCTATGTTTACTCTGCTCACGTGCGAGTTTAGCCTGCTACAATAGCCAAAGCGAAGTGACGTTTGTGGTGCGGGTCTCCTGGGACAAAGTTCTGTCACGTCCACGTCGGGTGGTTGTGTGCCAAAAACGGCATTCACAGATCGAGAGTCTATATAACTTGAGACCGTCTCCCTGTGAATGCCGTTTAAGGCCTGTCGGTATGTAGTTTGGTCCAGAGGCTGTTTTATAAACCTCTGGACTTCGACCGTTAGTTCGTAGAGATACCTCCTGACGTGCCTTGTCGAGAGCTCTTCTGCAAGCAGTTGTCTGTTCGGATGCCCGCGTGTGTGGCACTTTTCTAGGAACTGCTTACATAGTATTGTGTTATGCTCCTTAATGGGGAGCATCTGGGACTCGTCGTGCAGGTGATGTTGGGGCGAATCTCAGTTGACGCGGACACGAATTCGCAAGGATGTTCGGTTGCTACACGGTAAACGCCGTATGTCGTGAGTTGCTTCAACCGGATGCACAAGAATCGTTTTTTGCCACTCCCTGGTAAATGGCGATCAAAATCTTTCCCTACGTGTGTGAATCTCTGCACCTGGAACCATCTTCCTATACGGGATGACTATTTATCTTGCCATCGAGCTCTACACCAACTCACAATCCATCCCTGGAGTTCAGTGGTTTGCCTTTTTTGAAGCCTGAAAATAGGTGGATTTTTACTGCACTGCTTCATAGTTGTTCCTATTACACTGAAGCCACTCTTAATTCACAGTACACGAGTATGCCTGCTCGTGATAGCAGCTTGAAAGTGCAAACATACTTATGTGTAGAATATTCATAAAATATGTCTGCTGCCATTGTCACTTTGGATCCATGGGTAAGAAAGAAAATTGTGAATTTTTTTTTTAACTCGAAGAATTGAATCGGTACCCCACACTAACTATTTCTCCTTAAGATGCCCATCCAAGACAAGCTTTTCCATAGCCCATTATGTCAAAATGGGCCCAAATAGTGTACTGTGAATCATATCCTCTGCTTTGTGCTGTTGTTTCGAGGACCATGAGTGCAATTCAGTTGTTATGGTTTTCTCTAATCATACAGGAAAGAAAGATTCGTGATGCAAGTTGAAGTCGGAACCAAGGTCCTCTAAATTCCAATTATAGATATCTAGAATACATTCCACGAAGCTAAGTAATTACTTAAAACAAATCAATGCCACTTACCGAATTCGGCAGCAGAATTTAAGGTTTGTTTTTCAGAAAAAAAAAATGCAGGAAATGAATGGCAATTCACAAATTAAGTTTAACCTCCAACCGCTAACCGGCAGTCAAGACAAATGAAAGAGGGCGCGCTATAAGGAAGACATCTAAGCCAGACAGCGAGCAGACGGTCATAATGATTAAGGAGTACGCAGATAGAAGGCATGTATGTAGATATCTACTTGTATATACATATATGTATGTATGTATATCGACGAACATTTATAGTCGCCCAACAAGCAGACGAATACCGGTTGCGTGATGCGAATTAGTTTACCACTAAAGTTGCCGGTATCATGCAATAACAACAAAGTGGGGGGAAAAAAACAAAAATGCACGAAAGGCGATAGACGCACTGGCAGACAAATAATAATAGTCAAACTTACTAAAAATAATAAAAGAAAATTGTTTTATGGCGAATGTGGTAAGCAAGCAGCGTGCGATAAGGCAAAGCGTAAGCAATCAATAATTTAACTTCAACTATTCAATGCCAGGGCTGATGGTAAATCACAGTGTGTAAACATATTTATCACTCCCTTCCCCTCTACAACCATAGTCCGCCCCTCACTCACCTGCTTAAAATGTGGATTATCCAGCAAGAAATTATATGCGTCCTCGTTTTGCAACTCCGGCCCGTTGTCGTTGCGATCTAAAAGCGCTATATGCAGCGTCTTGTTGTAAGTAACCACTTTCTCCTCACTCACTTTGACCTTACAGGCAACGCTGACCGCGAGATTCGCCACCTCTGTTGTATTGAAATACTCAAAATCCAATGGCACTTTTGTGTAGAGTTCATTATTTTTTAAAGTGAAATATTTGCCACCATTCTGCAGCGTGTACTTCACATCCATGGTGGGACAGAGGTAACGTGTGGCACGTGGATTCAAGGTGCCCACGCGTATTGGCTCAAATGAAATTATTTCATTCGCATCAAAGGCAGTCTCCCGACTTACATCCTCGATAATCGTGTACTGTGCTCCGGCCCAAAAGCAGACATTTTCCAAGTTGCTGCAGTATGCGGCTTCCGCTTGTGGCGTCACTTCCAAAGTCATTTGTGGTATTTTATTAGGCGCCTTGTGGGCGTTACGCGCAATGGCGCTTAGGATAATTTTGGCCCTCTTGTGTGCGGTTTGATAATCATCCTTCATGAAAACCTCACCGCTGCTGCTATTGACGCGCAAGAGATCGTTATTCTCTAAGGTGTAAAGGTAGTCGATGGTAGTAACGGGTAGTATTTGAAAGCGTCCAATTGGTATTTTGGAAAATATACTTTGTGACTTCTCGTTGAATGGAAGATTGAATTTAACTGCAGACATGGGAAAGTAAACGGTCGTATCTGTAAGAAGCAAGAAGAGACCATTAATAACCAGTGTGTATTTGAAGAGTATGAGTATTTTATAAAATTCGATATGTATTCAAAATTAAGAGATTTTAAAAATCCCAATAACAAAATAAAAAATACATTTATACAAGCTTTATTTATTTCTATTGAAAGATCAGGCCTTTTTACATACAAATTATTAATAAAAAAAGGGACATTTTTTGTCTTTCCGGGTTATAAATCGTTTTGGAACGCGCTAAAACAGTTGCGGCGCTCCATCGCGTCATTTCGGCTCCGTTCCCTTGCACGAATTAAAGCATCATACTGTGATAGCAAATTTTTACAAAATTGTCTTTTAAATTCGCTATATCTCAGACGTTTGTGTATCGATCGAAAAACTACCAAACTAACAAAAGACGATTGGAGAGGGTAATTTTTTTCAAATGCTAAAGTTGCTGTTTTCCGGCGGGATTGCAAAACCTAGTATATTTTAAGACGTCCACCAAAATATTTCGGAAAAATATTAAGATTTACGTGAGCTGAACCGGTTTGAAAATATTTACTTACCTCTAAAAATTTTTTATGAATAAAAATAGTTTCTTAAAGGATTTTTTGGAAAAAATCCCCTCAGATGACAAACCAGTTTAAGCTTTAAAAATCTATATTCAAATCTACAAAAATCTACATAAAAATATTCAAAAAATGTTTCAGCGAAATCATAATAATGAGATTTTTGACACTGTTTTTTAACTTTTTTTCAAAGATTTGTTTAAGAAAAACTTGAATAACTGGGCCAAAACTATACCGACATAGACTTGTGAGGTATCACCCTTTTATTTTTATGAAATGGTATTATAACTTTGGTCCGATGTTTGCAAGTACCAGAACAAAAAGAGATAGACCCATTAAAATGTATACTTTTATGATCAGAACGTCCAGCTGAGTTGATTTATCCATGTCCGTCTGTCTGCAATCTAGTCTCTTAGTTTTCGAGATATCCGGATCAAATTTGGTAGGTGGGTGTATTTTTATAATGTATTAATCATTTGTCGGAACCGGAAGAATCGGACCACTATAACATATAGCTCCCATACAACTGATTGTTCAGATATGAGATTTTTCGTTATAATTCATCCATTTATGTAGCTAGGACCATGAAATTTCGCGCTGTTTTCACTCATTATCAGCAGAAGACTTACAGTGAAAATAACGAAGATCGGGTCACTATAACCTGCAGCCCCCATACAACTGATTGTTCAGATATGAGGTCTTTTCTTATAACTTCTCCATATATGCAGCTGGGAACATGACATTTCGCACCATTTTCACTCATTATTAACAGAATACCTACAGTGAAAATAACAAAAATCGTGTGACTACAACATATATCTTCCATACATCTGATTGTTCAGATATGGGATTTTACTGTAAAACTCCTTTATTTGAACAGCTAAAACCGATAAATTTCATAAGATATTTTATAAATAATAATACAAAGTCTACTGAGAAAATCGCCAAAATCTATGCTGTATAAGCTTTATCTCCTATAGCACTGATTGTTCATATACCAGTTTTTGCGATATATCTCCTTTATGTAGGAAACTAAACCCAATAAATTGTGTTACCGGGTTACATACCGATCACATAGCAGTGAAAATCACTTAGATTGGTGCTAATATAAGGTATATCTTCCATACCTCTGATTGTTCAGATGCGATTTTTTATATAGGTATGTAACTCCTCTATCGATGTATGCAGATGTATTCAAAAGCAGTAATCTGTCAAAGTAAAATTTGCAGATGTTTATGAAAAGTATGAAGCCTTCGGCATAGCCGAAGACAGCGCTGCTCTTACTTGTTTCACATACATTTTTGGACCAATTTATTGAACATGGGTACATTACACTGCATCACCAAAAAAGTTGCGGTTTTTCCGGCGGGATAAGTATAGTATATTTTAAAACGTTCACCAAAATATTTCGCCAAAATATTAAGATTTACGTGAGCTGAACCGGTTTGAAAATATTTACATACCTCTAAAAATTTTTTATGAATAAAAATAGTTTCTTAAAGGATTTTTTGGAAAAAATCTCCTTAGATGACAAACCAGTTTAAGCTTTAAAAATCTATATTCAAATCTACAAAAATCTACATAAAAATATTCAAAAAATGTTTCAGCGAAATCATAATAATGAGATTTTGAGAAAAACTTGAATAACTGGGCCAAAACTATACCGACATAGACTTGTGAGGTATCAGTGGAAAGGTATTTCCTCACCCTTTTTATTTCTTTGCATTCGTGTTCCAATTTTTTCTTTATCAAATACCAACACATCCTAATTCAACATGGAATGAGGCTCGTTTGTCTTACTTTTATCTTTCATGCTTTGAATGAGCTTATTTGCAGAGAAGTGAACAGGGTGAGAAAATTGCTTTCCAATTATACCTCATAAGTCTGAATCGTTACAGTTTAGGCTGAGTTATTAAAATTTTTCTTAAAGCAGTCTTTGAAAGAGTTCAAGAACAGCATCAAAAATCTCATTATATTGATTCCGTTGAAAACTTTTAAAAAATTGTATGCAAATTTTTTAAGCTTAACCTGTTTTGTCATGCAAGGTGATTTTTGCAAAAAATACTTAAAAAACTGTTTTTCGTCACAAAAAACTCAATTTTTGGAGGTTTTTTCATATCGGTCCAGCTCAAGGAACTCTCAATACTTTTCCGAAATATTTCGGTGAAAGTCTTAAAATATAATAGATTTAATAATTCCGGTGGAAAAACAGAACCAATTTTTTTTGTATGTGGAGCGATGCACTCTAATGCACATACATACATATGAATACATAATTTTTTTATTTTTTTATTTTATTTTATTTTTCGTTCAGACACCTTAATCTAGCCATCTTACTGACTAATAAAAGCTCTAAAGTAAATATTGCTGATAGTCCTTAAAAAGCAGACAGCTTGTTTATATTCACTTTTAAAGACCATTTAGTTTGTTTACTCACCAGAAGGCAAAACATTTAAAGACTCTTTAATGCACTCCATGAAAAACAAAAACACATTTTTACTTTACTTTCCATTAAATTTTGCACTCTAAAATTCATACTACATACTCGTATAAACTCTCAAACTAAAATGTGTGCGCAGTGTCAACAACTTGCTACCGAAAAAGTAAAAATCATTGGAATAAACAATCAGTGGCACTTTTAACAGTATCAATAGTTGGTCGATTGTGTATGGTTATTTTGGTGCTGAGTTACTCAAGTGGCTCTTGGCTAAATGGACAAATTTGTTGATGGAGCATGTTTACTTAAATATCCGAATGTATCGTATCAGGAGTGAGTCAGCAAAGTTGACGAGAATTGAAGAATTTATGCTAGTCATAGTTACTAAAATTTTTGAACATTATTTAAGAAATAAAGAGCTTTAAGCTACAAAACGGGAGTTAAATTTTACTCTGACGAAATCAAAGACTTTTCACATCAAAATGACAAGAAATCTAAAATATAATACCTACTCGAATAAAGCTACCACAAAGCTATACAAGTTGAAAATGTCTCCTACCTCAAACTATTTTCGGTTTACATTCAAACGTATTAAAGTGCAGTGAAGTCAAAACTATTTTTCTTTAACCTAAGTGGGTTCATTTATCTGTGTATCTATGAAATTAAATTGAATAAGTATATATGTAAGTGTCTAAGAACTAATTCTATGAGCAAAAGTGCCAGCACCTACAAACCTCAATGCGATAAAGCTCACCAAGTCCCGCTTTATTACTTTTTTTTTTACAGTTTTATAAAATAAGCAAAGCGCAGGATAACATGGACTGTACTGGCTTATGAAGATTTATTGTAAGGATGTATGTATAAAGGAAAATGAAAAACATATCCGCTCATTGCAGTACAAGCGAATCTTTAGAGATAATTTAAAAATGCACATTATCCTGAACTCTAAATTACAATTGCCGGATTATTTAATTATAAATTCCAGCTCGTGCTTATTACACATAGAACTTTTTTCGAAGGCATTTATTTGTTTGGCGACGAGTCAGCAAATAAAAAGTCTGTTTGTAAGCAAACATTTTTTACTACGTTCATACATATTTTTCTGGACGTGCATATAACCCACTTAGCCAAAGCTATTTAGAGCAATAAAAAGTAAAGATATTTGTTAGAGAGTTTGAAACTCTGATCTCGGAGTAAAGAGCCTAGTATAAATCAAATCTCAAGCAAATCAGAGATGTAGAATTCAACCGTACCATAAAAAAAATCGTCGTATACCCCTAAGTCTAACCGCCTCATCATGTATCTCGAAACGAACGTTCGTTTCGTCTGCCACACGAATCGTTCGTCACTTGGTACGTAGGAGACGAAAGAGAGACGATAATCGTTAAAAACAAACGAAAGGTTATAAGTGATCGTCGAGATGGATCGTTCAGTCAAAATAAGTAAATTCAGTGAAAAATTTATAAATTTCAAACAAAATAAATGTAATCAATATAACAAAAAATAATAATTTATATTTTCACCATGTAAAAAACCCACAACACAATTTGAGGTGCTGATTCAAGAGATGGACCAAAATTTCGGATCTGGCAAGAGGTGTACCAGTGTTTGGTTCGGACAGAGCCAGGGTTCAGAAGCGATGGGACGGGATAATGGAAGAAGGTAAGCTTATACTTGGTAGCAAAAATTATGAATATTCTAGTAACATAAATATGGCAGGTGGGGTCCCTTTCGGCATTCACGGCTGACGGAGATCGAAAAAACCATCGACAGCATCATTTATATGTCGAAGGCCGCAGCACCAGGTGGCGCAGCGCTTGGAATTAATCAGCGACTGACATGCCAGCACTATTTGTTGTACGTACAGCAACGATACGCAATTCAAGAGGCTACCCCTATTCGGTATCATCCCAACGTTCGTTGACGCACTACTCGCCACTCCAGAGCCCACTAACTCCACCAGTAACTACACAAAAAATCTCTCAAATGAATGGCAAAAATAGTAAAT